CTGAGCAAAACGCAGTCGGTCTGGGGAATGAAAGAAATTATTGTCGACGATTAATGAGCTCGGTGGAGAATGTCAAACTAGAGAAAGTGGATTTGCCCACTCTCGCAAAGACCTTAGAACAATTTGCGAGGAGTTTCATGGTTTGGTTTATAGTAGGTGATGAGCGCGGTACTGAATTTGTTTTAAAATTAAAAATACAATAGTTCAGAAAAAGATTGGTGATACATAAATTTCAATCTTCGACTTTCCTCTAGGTTTGATAAGCATTTAAGGTTTAACAATTAGGTTCCTCAATTTGAAAATGAAACAAAATACTATGAGTATTACCGCTCAAGCCCATATTGAACAGAAGATACCCAAGTGTGGGGCCAAAGACAGCGTCTAAACTGTTGAGTCGCTTTTCTCCAAAATTGATATTTCTCACTATATTTCATAATTGAAAGGAACTCGAGGATCCTTGAATTTGTAACAGATATATTGATATGGGAGGTAGAATATTTTATATAAAGTTTTAACATTTTGAAAGTTTTCTCAAAAATGGCGTATAAAATGCTTAAGAGAATGATAGAGGTCTCATTTTCGTCAATATTCATTTTTCCAAATTTGCAAATGTTCATTTTTTCGGCGACATCCTAGAACTACAATATTGAAGATATGAATTATTATTATCTTAAATCTCTTTTCTAAAGACTGATCTGGAAAAAGGTCATATAATTAGTTTTTTAATAATTTTGCGTGAAGTACAGGAAATTTTCAATTTTTTAAAACGTTTTCAGAAACGACTCAAAATTTGTTCTTAAAATGTTCTCCTCGTATCTATTATGACAGTAAAAAAGTGGTGCCAGTCTCATTTTCTGTGATCTCTTTGTATTTTACGAAATTGCAAAAAGTTAACTTTTCAAAACAATACAATTTAAGATAAAGGTTTTTTCTCAAGCAAACATTTCTTCTGAAACATGAGCTCTTCAAAGCTCATTCACATTTGTTTGAAAAAATAGTAGTTTTTACATAATGTGTAATTAAAGTTAACGCAATTCATAAAAAACACATTTTCTCAAAAATCGCTAAAATTTTCTTCTTTTTTCCCACGTATAGAACTAGGATGGCTTAAAGGAATGGCGCAGATCTCATTTTCATAGAATTCTGACCTTTCGAAAATTGGAAATTTATAAATCATACGAGAAAGTGTGTGCTGTTGCATTAGTAGTTTTTAAATGCAAAGATTACAAATGTGTGATAAGATTGTAAACGCAATTCCCAACAATCGTCTGATACATGTATTCTTTGCCAAAAATATGTAGTTGATTATGTTTATTTGTGATGCATTTTTAACAAATAAAATACCAATCCGATTACCAAATTTCCCAGTCAAATGTGATCTTTATGTTTATGCTCTTTTCCAACCAACGCCAAGTGGTCCACGACGCGCTGCCCCACACATCCGTTTTGCGTCCGCGAGCTCCTTCCGGTCGTTGCTCCTTCCGCTCTCGTGACCTGGTTCGCGCCTCCGCTGTCGCTCAGGCGCGCCCGTTGCTTCATAAATCCTCCTCACTTCTAAGAGAATTGCATTTAAAGCGAATACTTTTCTATTGTACTGGCCTGCACTTCCACTATCGCTATTACTACAACAAATCTGACACTTTCACATGTCACCATGAACAACGAAAGATATCTCCTAATGGATATCAGTATTTATCCCATTTCTTTATTTACATTTCACAGCAAGCCATACGAAGCTTGTGTGCTTTCATGCCAGGGTTCGAGGATAAGGCCGCTTTTCTTCATTTCTTTGGAGTTTTTTTTTCCGTAAAGTGCGTGTATAGTACTTTTCTGTTGTAATATTTCTACTTTATTTAATGCTATGTAATCGCTCGGCTAGTAATTATTGATTTTTCCTACCTTTTCCTGAATATTACTGCAGCTAAAAGTTGTAACAATGTCCCTCGTAGATTCCTTCCTTTGTACATATTACAACGTATTTTATTATTAGTTTATTTCTATAATTCCTCCTTAATTTTACATGTATTTTTCTTTAGATTTCTTTTACCTACTTCAGTACTTTTTAGATTAGTCTGAAGATTGCTGCTTTTTCATTAAAACTTCCTATCGTGAATGTGATTTTAATTTAAATTTTGTTATTTCTGGGTACTGATACTTTTGTGCACAATAAGTTAGAGCGATATTATTCTAACAATAATAACAATTATCGAGCAGAAAGTAAATGGAAGGAACGATTTGTAGTCAGTGCATCATGTGAAAGCGCAATGGAAGTGTAAGAAATATCTTTGGTAAAATAAATGAAATCAACGATATTTGTATTATAATAATAACTAGCTTGCAGAGAGTGAAAAGAAGAAACGATTTGTAGAATAGTGAAAGCAGTGCTTCATCCGGAAGCGACAGGGGACAGCGGGCGAAATGGTGGGGCTTTTGCGAGAGGACTTGGTGACAGCGCGGATTTGGACAAGGGGCTGCCACAAGACAAGCGGCCTTGGGCAGCGCCGCCGGCTGATGCGGAGACGGCAGCCGCTGTGTTTGGACGGCGTGGGCGGTAGCGCGGCAGGTGCGGGCCGCGGCCCAGGAAGTCAAGGGGCTGCTCCTGGAGCAAGCAGCCCGCCCGGCGGCGGCCGGTGAACAATGACCGACTACTACGCAGCGGCTTTGTTTCCTGCTTCATTCAAAGAGTAATGTCACAGACACGATGATTAGTGAGGCTACGTTCTGGGAGAAGCTGGGGTCATTTGGATTTTGTAGAATATGTTCTTTCCCCTTTTTGAAGTTTCATTTCCTCTTCTTATTTTCCCTTTTTCCATTTCTTTCAAAAGGTTTTCTTTTTTATGTCTTTCACATTTTTATCCCTAACTCTCAAAAAGCCAGAGGATTCTAAAGTGACAATCAGAGTTGACCGAGCACACGGAATGACGTAGTTAAGACTCAAAGGAATGAATTCTCCTACAGAAGAGCGTATTAACACATTCCTTCATTCTCCCCGGCACATTCACAAAGATGTAGACATTTTCATTCCATAATCTTGACTCATATCTCGATATTTAATAGTAAATTCAAAACGTTTTGTAGAGCGTAAACGTGTTTCTGAAGTAATCCAATACACATATATGTGAAGTAAGAAATCAAATTTATTAACTTCACAATTCATTTTTATTTAGTGTGAAGCGGTCAAAGTAAATTTCTTTCATTTAAATCATTATCACAACAACATAAAATATGAAATTATGTGATGCAACATTCTCAATATACATTGCTTTACCTTATAGATAATTCGATTTTCTTCTCACATCTTTCATAAAAAATTGCACAATTTTGTATTTTTAGACATGTCAATATACTAAGTATATATGTGTAAAGATCTCAAAACTTTAGAATTAATATACATTAGAATCTCTCACTTCTAATTGAGGCTATAATTATTTAAGTAAATCAAAGAGATTTGAGAAATAATTGCACCTAGAACACAAATTATTTTTTTTCAGAAATTCTGTCGTATCAAAAGTTTAATCGAATATATTGTAAAATCTTGACCCTATAAATTTTAATTTTAGAATTTCGAAGAAATGAGAAAACATACTGCCAAAACAGGAAACATTTTTCGTCACACTGATTCAAGCAGTTAATTAGGTATTGTCATATCAGAATGGGTAAAAGGGGAATACATTTTTTGTCTACTCGCCAGGTAGACGAATAAAGAGGGGAAGACTGTTGGCTATGTGCATCCAAGACATGAAAACAATAATGACTGAGAACAACCTAAATATGAAAGAGGCCCAAGATAGGGCGCTACGCAAGCTGAAATGCGTGATGCACGAGCAGCTGACGGCAAAAACATTGGTTATTCCACACAATGCAGAATGATGCTTTGAAATTTAGTCTAGCAATAAGGCTGTAAAACTCCTCGTTTAAATTTAGCCAAACAACAAATTAAATTTATCATATCACGGTCGTACAATACTAACGACTTAAAAATTGTACTATTGGTATTTTTATTATTATTATTATTATTATTATTATTATTATTATATTATTATATTATTATTTAATCTAGTCTTTCGATCGCACCACGGGAAGCAAGTGCACTGCCTTTGCGCCACCCTAGGACTTTTTCTAAAATACCTATTCGAAAATATGCAATACGAAAAACAGTAAAATGTTGAATCAGTATCGTTAAACCGCATGCCTAAGGTCATAAAAAGATGTAATCAGGCTCCATTAAATGGAAGTAATAGTTAAACTATATCCATGAATACAAAATGTCATGGTGATAATTGCGGTAAAGTCTGATCTATGACCAATGTTTCCGCAGAACTCACGCGACTTTTAAATCTTCTTCGTTGTTTTCCCCTCTTTTTATCTTTGCTAAAAAGCTTTTCTCCTCCTTTCGCAAAACCTGCGTCTTCGCTTTCCTGGCCTTCAACACGCGTTGGCGCCTCTCTAAGTCGCCGTTGAGTTCGCCGGCCGGAGCACCTAGAAAGAGCGCACTTGCATTTCCCGGCCCAATGTTTGAAAGAAAAAAACATTACGCCATTACGCGAAAAACTACGTATTTAATTTTTAAAATGTTATCGAATCATATGCGATCAGTATGTTAACCGTATTTGGTCAACATGGTTATATTGGTTATAAAATTATATATTCTATGATTATGTAAATGTTTATGTAATTGTATTATACTATCACCGATTATAAATATATCACAGCGCAGTAATGCGTTTGGACGAGAACATTCAAACTTTTTATACTGCATGTTATTGTAAATAAAACGATGAATAAAACTTATTTTAAATTACTTTTATATTCATCGATAACTAAAACAATTTTAATAGCTACTTTTCTTACAGAAAGTAACTTAAAAATTATTTAAATAAAATAGGTTGTAAATGGGTGTTAAATGTTTTTTTTATCTGGTTGCAATGCGCTCTTTGGATAAAATTTTACGGGCGCCCTTGCCTGCTACTCTCTCCCTCTTACTTTTCCTCTGCTCCAGGATGCTCCATGCCTCTTTGCGACGGCCTCAAGTCCTTCTTGCAAAGCGACACAGCTGGCGGGCCTCTTCTTTCTTCTTCTGCTCCTCCCGCTCGCGGTTCGAGCTCTCGTCCTTCCGAGACAGCCTTGCACGTCTACCGCCCCGACGCCTTCTTAACGAAGGCCTCGAGGTTGCCTGGCGCGGTGAGTTTCTACGCTTCCCACGGCATCTTTCGCTGTTGACTAACCTGTGTTGTAGTTCATAAAATTATGTCGTAGGAAATATACTGCGAGATGATGTGTGTATATCAATCCTTTTTAGTTTCTCGTCTTACTACGTATTTTTATATTTACGCATTTGAAATACAAATGTTTCAGATGATTTTCAATGAAGTTTCTCAAAACAATTTTTCTGTAAAAATATCAAGTTAACGCATTTTCAGAAAAGCGTGAACATTTTCTTAAAAGCCGATCTGATTTTTACATGAAAATTTGCATACAGCACCACGTGTTATTCTTCTATAATACTCTTCACGTCGTATTTCAAGTCTACTATTAGAGGACCGAAAAATTGATAAAATGTGGGAGGAAATGGCTTCCAGGTACCGATAGGAAGGACCTGGAAAAAGAGTGGGCCAAAATCAAAATGCTAGCCCAGTCTTTATAGACTAAGCAACTAACTACTGCGAGAAAGTCTGTGCAATTCTGTTGCACTACTAATAAGTCACTCCTGGAGGGAGGGTGGCATGGTGAGTGATATTACGAACATAGGCACATACGAGTGCTATTCGTTCTTGTAAGTGCCCAAGGAAAGAGAGAAAGGTAGAGACAGAGAAGAAAATCAAAAAAACATTTTTAGAAAAGGGAAGAAGAGGGAGATAGAGAGAGGGAAGATAGAGAGAGAGGGAAGATAGACTGAAGATAAAGAGAGAGGAAAGATAGAGAGAGGAAAGATAGAGAGAGGGGAGATAGAGAGAGGGGAGATAGAGAGAGGGGAGATAGAGAGAGGGGGAAGAGAGAGGGGGAAAGAGAGAGGGGGAAGATAGAGGGAGAGAATAAACAGAGGAAGATCAAGGGATGAAGAATGTCGAACTTTTGTAATCGGCGGCTCACCGCTTCCACCCTGCTGTCATTGCTGCAATGTGATACCACCGTCCCTCGCGGCTCGTCTCTGAAGGTATCGTACCCCGACGTCAACTCGCGGTTGACAGAAGTGCAAATAGCCGCCTGGAAATGACGTTTGCTTATAAACAATTTGGAGTGCATTTTGAAAGACAAGGCGCCGCTTGAGGGTCTTTGGAGGAGAATGTTAATAGAGTAACTGTTGAAGTGAAAGGGAAATTGTTAGAGTGGAAGCTTCTTGTAAGGGAGAATTGATAGTCTTCGAATATCTGGCCGGTCGATGAATAATATTTTTTTAAATACCCGTTTATGTTCAGCGGCATTTGAAATACAAATGTTTCAGATAATTTTGAATGACGTTTCTCACAACGTACAAAGAAACAAAAAGAATTCACTTATGTGTAAAAAGGACAAATGCAGTATACTAAAAACTCGAGTGTAAACTGATTGTTAAAAAGAAGTTATTTCAATTCTTCATTTTGTACCGAGTTTTACTGTCATTATCCATTTGTAAATTAATTTGTATAGAAATGAATTAACGGTGATTTATTCATGCTTTTGTTTTCTCGCCATATTTTGAGAAATTATCCTATGAATGGCACAGTATTTTCTCTACGGCATTGCTAACTTTCTTACATGGAAAAAGGAATGTTTCTACAGAAGACCGCGTTAAATTCCACTCCGTATTTCCTGTTCCGCTTACTGCAATATCACGATCTACGCCCACATACTCCCCCGCCCTCACACTCCTTTTCGCATTCCCACTCCATTCGCACTCCCCCGCACGCCTTCATCCTCACATACATACATCTTCATTCTCTCTCCTGTACTTCGCCAACCTCTATCCCCCACTCACACTCCCAATCCTCATTCTCGCCCCGCACCTTCCAACCTCATTCCCCCACCTGCTTTCCCCAACCTCATTCCCCCACCTGCATTCCCCAACCTCATTCCCCCACCTGCATTCCCCATCCTCACTCCCCCACCTGAACTCCCCATCCTCATTGCCGCACCCCAATCCCCAACTTCATTCCCCCACCCGCACTTCTCAACCTCATTCTCTCACCCACACTCTGCCAACCTTACTGCCCCACCTCACACTTCCACCCGTACTTACCATCTTCAATCCCATCAGCCGCACTCCTCAAACACAC